AGCGGGCAGCGCCTCCGACTGTCACGCCAAGTTTTGGCCTAGCAGAGAGATCATGCAAGCTGGCGCCTCTGGGCAAAGGAAACATGGCTTGCTTTTCACCCCTCCCCATTCTAGCCACCGTAGGTTTGTGGTTTGACTTGGCTATGGCTGGCAGCAGATTGGTGTGCGCTAAATTGCAGCGATTGCATTTTCGAGAATATGGCAGCCACGGTGCAGTAGGTGCAGCGCCTCACCGGGCCACACCTACTATGCCTAGTTGGGTTCAAGGCCAAACAACTGAAATGGCACCGTTGGTGGTGACTTTGAGTCTGCTGCTAGCGTCAAAAAGTTTTGAAAATCGGATGGCAAAGGCTCTAAGTGTCCGGAGTTTCTTACTTTTTAATACATTGACTCTATGGGGAACTTGACGATGCCGGGGATGAGTCCGGGAAATCGGTCATCGACTGTATTACATTTTAATATTTACTATATATAGAGCATATAAGCCAGTAGAAGAAGCTTCTAAAGGGCCGGTAAACAACCCCTAGATCCTAAAATTTGCACTTTGGTGCAAGTTTTTCGTATGTGAACATGCTGCGCTAGAATTGCATGTGCATTTTTGCTATGTAAACATGCTGCCGCAAGAATTTTGCGAATACATGCTATAATGAAGGAGTTACAGGGGTTAGAACATTCAGTAAATATGCTTTTACACGTGTGAAAACTGGACTGTTAGAGATTACTTCAGCCCAAAATAAGCCGTAGAATTTATAAGCTGTAAACTGTGCCTGCTGCCAGCGACCGTCATTTCGTTATGGCTTGCGTGATGTCAGAAGCCGAAAAAGTAGTGTCGTTGTCTGCTACCAAACAATGCCTTTTGCACGCGTTAAGTGTTGCTTGCTGCGTGGTCCGGACGTGTCAGTGGGTTGCAAGTGTTACCGGTACCATCATCATATGCGGCAAAGACCGCACGTTCCGCATTTTTACTTTGACTCCATCGCCACCAGCTCAAGCGCCAAAGAAAGCTTTGACTACGGTGTGAACGAAAATGCCAATGACTTCGCTGTTGCGGCAGACATTGCAGATGGCTTTTTGCAATGATCAGTAGCTCTATTTAAAGTGTGTCAGGTTCAAAAGCAACCTGACACACTAAGATACGGGGGTGCATCGACGGTGCATTTGCAAGCAAGTGCTACACAGTGCCATAGAACTGGGAAAGCGTGCAGATATTTCTTGGCTAGCATACGTGCATGCAGGACTTTCTGTGCTGAACATGATAAATCGGTGGTCGTAGCAAAGCTGCGCGTTGGGATCGGATACTGCGTGCTGCACATGTAAACATAAGCCGAAGCGAACGGCATGTCGGTTCAGCGCTAGGGTTACTCATGATATGCATTTGGCCAAATATTTGCTTGAACTCTGTCGACTGCATTCGGTTTCAGTAAAAAATAGCAAGTGTAACGCTCAACCATGGCACTGTCTGCATGGAGTTTCAAATAATATTTATCCATAGTGACAAATGGCATACACATTGCACATTCACAGGACACTTTTTGACCTCTGAAATTGCTTGCTGCAAGTACCAGCATATTCGTGGTTACGCAATATACAATCAGAGATTGTGCAGTTCGAGCCCTCTCGCCCTTACTTTTTTAGAGTGTTTTGGGTTTTGACGAAGGTGTGGTGCGGCGTGGAGGTCGTGCGAGTGCCAAAACGCGCCTTCCAACTTACGCGCGGAGCCGCGCTGCCAGAGAAATCGCAGGGTGCGATGATTGCCGAAGCGCACCTTCCAGCTCGCGTGGCGTTCGATATATCCGATTTATGGTGTAATGGGTTTAGAAGAAATGTGTGTTCTGATGGGCTTAAAACATTCATTGTCTTGTCGCTGTACACAGTTGCAAATTATTGTGATATGCTGATTTGCTTTGTAGCTAACTTGGTTTAGGAAAAAAATCTTCCTCCTCAAAAGGCACAGAAATATTGTATTTTAAAAACTGCACATCATGCTGGAAAAATAATAGCATACTTGAAATTAGCATTGACAGTGCTAATTTCATAGTCATAAATTCTGCATAAATTTTGGAAATTTTGTCAAAATCGATCAAGAAATCAAATTTTTTCAAGAGCCATTTCCTCCCTTAATTTTAACTTGTGTGGTTACTTCCTGGTTCTTTCAAACAGCAAACAGCCAATTTGCTGACTGCCTGGCTCAGAGGTGTTATTTCGGCCAGATTTAGATATTTTTTATATTTACAGCCTGCACTTGGAACAATCTGAGTGCAGGCAGTAAATATGTTTACCTAGTTTAAATTGCGGGGGTGCTAACACCCCCTGCAAAGTTGTTTGCGCCGCGTGGTGCACGTGTCTCGCACAGAAGCCGTATTTCGGGGGTGACAACCGCCGGACAATAGATGACGTGTTCGCGTTGAGTACCACGGTTGGTAGAGTGGTAGCGCAGGAGGTGACCCCTGGCGGAAGGCAGGCTTTGGTGGCGGGTGAGAGTTGAGTGAGGCTCTTCTGCGCGTGGCGGTTGCCTCAAAGGGTTGTCTCTAGCGTGGTTCTTCGGCGCGGGGCACCACGAGCCTGCGCGTCGGGGGCCCTCGTGGTAAGTCAAGCGTTGGCGATGCCGCTTTGGGTGTGTTATTGGGTGTTTGTCATGTTTCGGAGTGTATGGAGATTGTGTGTAAGGATGTCTTAGTGGGCTGATTACGATTGATGCATCATTTGGTGGACGATATCGTCGTTCATAAATTAGCTAAATAAATGTGTATTGTTCTTTGGTTTGTACCTACCGCGTCTTCTGCGTCCGTTCACTCCAAGAGTGTGGCGTGGTGCTCATTCGCCATATCGAGACCCCACACTGGCGCCCAACGTGGGGCTCTCGGAGTATTGGACGACAGTTTTTTCCGGTTCGGTGCAAGCTTTTGTTAGAGCCGTGGTAGGGTAGGCTCAGGGGGACTTTTTTGCTAGCGTCGGTGGTGTGCTTTGTTTAGAAGCGAGGAGATTGGTTTTGTGATGTGTTTGAACTTGTCGGCAGATCAAGTTTTCATTTTTTTTTTCTGCTCATGTTTTTTTTGTTGTTGTGTTAGTTTTCAAAACCGTCGTTGAATTGGGACGAGAGCCGTGCGGTCTGCATACTGGGGTGAGCAAGACCTAAAGCACATGATTTGTAGGCCAGGCCCGAAGTGAGTGAGTACGGAAGCCTCGTGGGTGGCCCGATTTTCTGTAAATAGCTTCTTCTATCTCTTTGGGCTCAGGGAGCCGAGCGTCGTTGCTGACTTGTATTGCGGCTCGACGTCGGGTCGTCGTGACACTGCCCGGGGCGGTGGACGCTGTATCGATCGAGCAATGCTTGTAAGCCATGCGCACGCATGCACCACCGTCAGCGAAACTAATCTTAGATAATGACCACACTTGGTTATCCTGCTGCATACTATATATACGCGTTCCTTGTTTGAATAAACGGTCTTTTGTTACTGGCTTCCACTCGTCGCAGATGTGATGCATGGTGTCAGAAGTAGGCGCGTCGCTCCGCGACGTAGATGAAATCGGCCCACAACCTGCAAAAAGTAACCGGTCTATGCAATTAGAAGCCACGACCGCCCGGCAAAATTGAGCATTAGCAATGGAGCTTCTCAAGGCACCAGAACCCTTGCTGCTATCTGGAAACATAGCAAAGAACTGGGAAAGATTCAAACAGAAGTTTGAGTTGTTTTTGGAGGCGACATCACCAGTGAAGGAACCCAGGACTCCAGCTGTCAAGACCGCGCTCCTGCTGAGATTTGCGGGAGACGAAGCACTCGAGGTATTCAACAATTTCTATTTTTCTGAGAGTGAAAGCAAGCAAGATTACGAGACGGTTGTGAAGAAGTTCGATGAATATTGCCAAGAGCAGCAAAATGAGGTTTTTGAGAGATATCTGTTCCGCATTAGGACACAAGCAAAAGGCGAACCCTTTGAGCATTTTCTATGCGACCTCAAGAGACAAGCACGCAGCTGCAACTTCAATTCCTTGACAGAATCTTTGATACGGGGCCAGATAGTCTTTGGCACAAACAACACCAAGCTGCGCGAAAAAATGCTCAAAGAGAAGGACTTGACGCTCGACAAAGCAGGGCAAATATGTCGAGCTGCGGAAATATCCGCCCAGTAGAATGAAGCGTGGTCCCATGCATGCAACCAGATAGACGTGGTTAAAAAACCGCAACAGCACGTTTGTGCCAAATGCAGTCGCTCTCACGCGCGTGCTAGGTTTCCAGCCTTTGGAAAAACTTGCTTCGTGTGTAAAGGAAGAAATCACTTCGCTAGGTGCTGCACGAAACGTCAAGTAGACGAGGTTCACAAAGAAAGCGATGACTTCAGCGTTTTGGATGTAAAAATTTTCTACGTCAACAGCAGGAAAGATTGGACAGTCAAAGTGCAGGTTGCGTGCCCCGCCGCGGTGGTCTAGTGGCTAAGGTACTCGGCTGCTGACCCGCAGGGCGCGGGTTCAAATCCCGGCTGCGGCGGCTGCATTTCCGATGGAGGCGGAAATGTTGTAGGCCCGTGTGCTCAGATTTGGGTGCACGTTAAAGAACCCCAGGTGGTCGAAATTTCCGGAGCCCTCTACTACGGCGTCTCTCATAATCATATAGTGGTTTTGGGACGTTAAACCCCACATATCAATCAAAGTGCAGGTTGCGGGTGAAAAGGTGGTGCTTAAGGTCGACACAGGCTCTCAGGCAAATCTACTGCCTTACTCTATCTACCGAAGGTGCAAGGGGAACCTGAAGCTTTACCCAAGCTGTGCCGTACTTCAGTCCTACAGCGGAGGTGTTATCAAACACGTCGGCGGGGCAACACTGCAAGTTGAGACGAATGATCGGTCCTGTAGCATCCCTTTTTTCGTTGTGAAAAAGAGCAGTCCCGCTATTCTGGGATTAGCTGCAAGTGAAAGTCTGGGTCTGGTGTCGCGCAACGTAAACATGGTCAGAAAAGATAGCACCAGTGACATTATCAAAGAATTCCCGGATTTATTTCAGGGAACTGGCTGCTTGCATCAACAGTACCACATGGTTTTGCGCAAGGATTCAGCAGCAGTAGTAATGCCAGCGCGGCGCGTACCATTGGCACTGCGAGGACCACTACGAGATGAGCTCGACTGGATGGAAAGAGGCGGCATCATAGATGTCAACGCGCCAACATACTGGGTGAGCCCTCTAGTATTCGTAAGAAAGAAAAACGGAAAGCTGCGTTTGTGCATGGATCCTAGGAACATCAATGAGTGTCCAAAGCGAGAACATTATCAAATGCCAAAGCGGGAAGATATTGAGGCTGAGTTAGCAGGGGCCAAATATTTCTCGCGTCTTGATGCAAACTTCGGTTTTCACCAAATTCCTTTAGACAATGTAACGTCCAATACCTGCACGTTCAGCACACCGTTCGGGCGATACCGTTTTCTCAGGCTCCCATTCGGTATTATAGCTTCGGCTCCAGAAGTTTTCCAGAAGGTCATGAGCGAAATTTTCGACCGTGCAGCAGGAGTGCACGTGTATGTTGACGATGTCCTAATATATGGAACTACTAAAGATGAACACGATGCGCGCCTCCGTCATGCTTTGCAATTAGCCAGACAGGCTGGTTTGACGTTCAATTCTGATAAATGCAAGTTCGGACTGACTGAAATTCATTTCTTGGGTGACGTCATATCTAAAGAGGTAATAAAGCCAAACTCTTTCTTGAGCGCATCACTGGGCGATTTACCTCACCCGGCCGACAAGGCAGCCGTACACCGGATGCTAGGCGTGGCTAATTATTTAGGCAAATTCATACCCAACCTGGCCGATAAGACGAACCTGCTGCGCAGCCTTTTAAAGAAACGCACCATTTTTGAATGGACAAAGAATCATGCGCGTGAGTGGGCAGGTATTTGCGAGCATCTCATCAAACCACCACTGCTCGCTATCTTTGACGCGTCTAGAGAAACTAAAATCTCTGTAGATGCTTCGAAATGTGGGCTAGGGGCAGCTCTTTTACAGCGTTACGATGACGCTTGATGGCCAGTTGCCTATGCATCTCGCGCTATGAGCGATGCAGAACAAAGATACTCTCAGATCGAAAAAGAGGCGATGGCAATTATCTACGGATGCGAAAAGTTTCACCAGTTTGTTTATGGACGCAAGATTGTGATTGAAACTGACCATCGTCCGTTGATTGCCATTGCTACAAAACCTATTGGTGACATGCCTTCATGACTTCAGCGTTTCTTTTTGCATTTGTTCACCTATGACTTTAATCTTTACTTCGTGCCAGGCAAGCAACTGCTCCTGGCGGACATGCTGTCCAGGGCGGCGCCAAGTGCCGCAGGAGACGTTGGATTCAACGAGGACGTGGAAGTTCATGCTACGAGAACCGTGTCCGAGTTGGTTAGCAAAAAGACCATGGATTGCCTAGCAAAAGAAACTGCAGCTGATCCTGAGTTTCGAGCTGTTATCGACTACTTGTGCGGCAAAGCAAAGCTCGAGCCCATTGAAACCGTTCGCATCCGAGTTATCACTCGTACAGAACATTTTATTTAAGGGATGCAAAGTGGTTATCCCAAAGTCATTGAGGTGAGAAATACTCGACCGCATTCACGAAGGGCACTTGGGTATGAACAAGGCCAAAGCAAAAGCTCGACGTCTGGTTTTCTGGCCAGGGCTTAACGTGGACATCGAAAAGATGCTACAGGGCTGTACAGCCTGCCACAAGTACGCTTACGCGCAGCAAAGTGAGCCGCTAGTATTGAGGCCGACACCGCAATACAGAGTTGGTACAGAGTTGGTACAGAGTTGGAGTCGACATTTTCCCCTCTGTGTCTTTGATGCTTTGTCCAATTTCCCAGAAGTCGAAAAACTAATGGACTTGACCACTATATCTGTAATCGAAAAGCTGAGCGCCATTTTTGCTAGATATGGCTTCCCAGTAGAAGTTTGCAGCGGTAATGGTCCTCAGTTCTCATCCTATGAATTTGCACGTTTTGCCTCCAGATACGACTTCCAGCATGTGACATCTAGCCCCGGATTCCCTCAGTCCAACGGCCTCGCTAAAAAAGGCGTTCAAATTGTCAAACGAATCATGAAGAAGACTGCGGGAACGAAACAGGACTTCTAGTTTGGGCTGTTGAGCTATCGTTCGTCACCCCTCGAAGATGGTCGTTCCTCTGGTGAACTCCTCCAAAGCAGACGCCTACGCACAAGACTTCCAGACTTCAGCCACCACTCAAGCATTCCCGTGACTAAGCATAAACAGACCGATGATCGGGGCAGATGCTTGCCAGCGCTCAAGAAAGGCGAAGTTGTACGCGTCAAAGACAAGGAATGGACCAGAAAGGCGCAAGTGCTAAAACGAGTCGCACCGAGACCTTACGAGGTGGACACGGAGGACGGCAGAAGGTTTCGACGTAACCGGCGCCACCTACTGAGGACAGGTGAGCAGTATCGGGAAGACTTTGAAAGTGAGTCCTCATCAAGCCATGAACGTGATGGCCTCGACGAGCCAGGACGGGCTCGGCATGAGCACAGTGACGAACATCGAAGGCCTGGTAACAGATCATCCGAGCAGCCGCCAGCACAGGTTTCAGTTCCTCAGCAAGGTGTACTTCCTCCCCTACGCAGGTCTGCTCGGGAGACACGACCACCGGATCGACTACGCTATGATAGTAACTTTAATCAAGTAACTTAAGTTGTTTTGTTTTCCCGCGGGAAGATGTACCGATCAAGCAATGCTTGTAAGCCATGCGCACGCATGCACAACCGTCAACGAAACTAATCTTAGATAATGACCACACGTAGTTATTATGCTGCATACTATATATACGTGTTCCTTGTTTGAATAAGTGGTCTTTTGTTACTGGCTTCCACTCGTCACATATCTGATACAGATGCCGATCGCTCGGTAAGCTGCTGTGTGCGGCGAGCGATAGGGCCACCTCACAGAGTGAATGTCTCCTCGCGGCTACCTCTTCTGCGCCTAGGCTGGGTGCTGGGTGGATGCCGGTTGTTGCCGATCGACTCATTAGGCCTAAGGCTCTGCGCAGCCGCCTGTCGCACGTGGCACAACTAGGTGGATCGTGGCGTTGAGGTGTTGCGTTCTGCTTTCCTCACTTTTTTTTTATCTCACGATGCACGAGTTAGGAAAAGTGATTTTTGTTATATTTTGATGGGCGTCTCGGCCGCCGCCAATGTATTAGCTAGCCGTACCGATCATCGTACCTCGTGGGCGAAAAGCCCGAAGCTCCCTTCCCTAGGCCCTGCTCCAGGTTTTTTTCCAGTTTTTTTTGTTGTTGTTGATGTATTCAGCGGGAGGGATGTCATCCACGGCCGGCTGTCTTCTGCACATCGTCAGCGTCGCTGGCCAGGAATGCGGTCGTGAGGTCGGGCGATGGAGATGCCTGGGACCTGCGCAACTGCCTGCAGTCCGGCACCCTCGTGAGTGCTGGTTGCAACTGGAAGACGTGTCGGCGCTAGCGGCGGTTCGTCGCGCCGACGGCAACGTTGATGTTGCGGGGCCGGTACTGAGGTGACATCGAGCCGGACAGTGCAGCAGTGTCAACTGGCGGCGGTGTCGTGGTGCAAGGACATTATGGGCATGGGATGTCATTTTTTTGTTAAAGCTTGTGTAGCTTATCTTTTTGTTTTTGGGATATGGTTTGATTTAAGGTTGGGGGAATGTGGGGTGCTGACACCCCCTGCAAAGTTGTTCGCGCCGCGTGGTGCACGTGTCGCACAGAAGCCGTATTTCTGGGGTGACAACCGCCGGACGATAGGCGGCGTTGTGTTCGCGTTGAGTACTACTGTTGGTAGAGTGGTAGCGCCGGTGGTGACCCCTGGCAGAAGGCTGGCCTTGGTGGCGGGCGAGAGTTGAGCGAGTCTCTTCTGCGCGTGGCGGCTGCCGCGAACGGTTGTCTCTAGCGTGGGTCCTCGGCGCGTAACACCACGGGCCTGCGCGTCGGGGGGGCCCACGTGGTAAGTCAAGCGTTAGCGACGCCGCCTTGGGTGTGTCGTGTTGTGTGTTTGTCGTGTTATTGTGTAACGATGTCCTAGCGTATTATATAACGAGTTATGTATCAATTTGGTAGATATCATCGTTATAAATTAGTTAAATAAATGTGTATGTGTTTGTTTGGTTTGTACCGACTGCATCTGCTGTGTCCGTTCACTCCAAGAGCGTGGCGTGGTGCTCGCTCGCCAATTCGAGACCCCCCACAATATGAGCGCCTGATTTTTTTTTTCCCACTCGAGGGTTTGTTCCAGTGCACAGTGCTTTCCAAGTGCACGTGACAGTCATGAAATTTTCTTTTAATCATCATGGAATACCTGAAAAGGTCAGAGAATTCGAAATAAAATCAAATTGGTAGACACCCTGGTCATGCATAACCTTCATCTGGTCATGTGAGGTGACTGAGAGGAAGTGATTATTGTGATGCTCGAAGCGGCCAGGGATGACATCTGAACTGTGCATACTCTGGTGTCTTGTATTTCTACTGTCTGCCACACTTTTGCTTGCTTTGCGAGCGAATCAGATCGTCTTATAGGATAGAATGAAAATTACAGGTTTTGTGCTACAATTTTGTGTAAACAACTTTAATGATTGCTGTTATTCTTGCACAGGGTGTGTTGCGGAGACGCCACCTGGAGGCATTCAAGACAATGGCCAAACAGCAGCTGCAATTTCAGGTCTGTGGATCAGTGTGTCCGCTGCACAATTGCTAGCAGCTGTCGTATACGGAAGTTCTGAATGGCCAAGAGAAAGCTACTGTTATGTCTCGATACAAATAACTGTAGTACAGTGCAGACCACTTACATTCAAACCTTGATATAACAATCCTAGATATAATGAAATAGCTGTTTTAGCAAAGTAAATAAATATAGTCTTGTAATAGATCTTGTGCTAAGAATTTTCGGTTTAACGTGCTTATTTTCGTGTAAGATGCAACTTTGATGTAATGAGGCCCGAGTTTAAACGTAACCACTTATATTGCAGGATCAGTTCCAGTGCGGTCTTTTTCAACTCCTGTTTATGCTCCCGTAAAAACCCCTGTGTATGCATATGTTATTGTGCAGTCCCCCAGGATGGGGTTGCCAGAAAATCTTTGTGACAAACACGGTTGCGAGTGTGCTTCTTAAAGGGTGCGCTGGATGCACCGCTGGGGACTGGGTGACGAGGTCGTTATAGAGGAGGAGAGGGGACGTGAAGTGAACGAATATATGGTGAAGGGAGGGAAAAAAGGTAAAAAAAATAAGACGGTGACATATACGCTGTGCAGGCTTGATGAATGAAGGAGGAGGGCGATTGCCTAGGTAACTGAAAAATCTTTACACCGGCTATGACTGCGCGGGGCTTGACATGGCACGTCGATCTTGTGATCTGCAACTACTGTATTTACTCACATAATCCTCGCACTTTTTTTGGCGGAAAATCGATGCAAAGTTGGGGTGTGCGAGAATCACGGGGGGAAAACTTTCCACAAAAACTTACAGAGCAAACAAGAAAATGAAGTGGCCGCAAATCAGGATTCTCACGCCAGCAATCAACAGCAAGCTTTGAGAAGTACTAATTGAAACTTACCTCAACAATAAAAGCACAGGTTCAACACAAGGCAAAATTTATTTGAGACACAAATGTGCAAGCAAATAGTCGAGAATCAGAATACCATACGCAAAGCTTGTGGGCTTTGCGGGCGTAATGGGAAGGTTTTGACGCTCAACAGGAGCCCTCAAAAGGTAAGTGTAGGACCTCAGTATTGGGCTGATGGTCATTTAACAGAATTGTCCGCAGTTTCTTTCTGAATAAATAAAGTTTACCATCAATCTCAGTTTTAGGCACACGGCAGGCCCAACGCGTCTTGGTGGCTTTCAGCTGCCATCACCAGTAGCGAACACAAACTCGTAGACTCCAAAGGGCCTACCGGCCGCCCTGCTGCTGTTGTTTAGTGCATGATCTATCACTTTCAACTTGAGAGCAGTCATGTAGTTTCAGTATCGCCGAAAAACGTGACAAGATTACCGACAGACCATACAAAACATGCCGCAACGTGCATTTGCCACTTTGGCTTGGCTTAGATTAGATTAAATCTCCGTGCAATAATAGTATGCTTGATGCTTAAATGGCGCATGCTATCATCATCAATGGCTGGAACGAGCAGACGATATTATCGCGACAGATTTAGGGAGTGCGATAATTACTCGAGGAAAAAAAAAAAAAGAAATCGTATTTTTGTTAGGCGATGTGAGGGGTGCGAGAATTTTCGAGTGCGAGGATTACGCAATTAAATATGGTACAGTTTTCTTGTGGTCCTAGTTTCCTGTCTGGAAAAGTGCCGTTGTTATCGAGATTGCTCCAGATGCAGTTGAGCCCACAGATAACACTGCCATCTAAAACGAACTTTCGCTTAAAACGAATAATATCCGCGTGACCGTGAAAATATAGATTGGTTCAATGGCACAAAATCTCACTTACAACGAACGTCTCCGAGCGCCGCCGTTCGGTTACAGCGAACAGAGTCAGCAATCTGCCGACTTCTTGGGAAACCAATTTCGATCAATCAGGCATCAGCGAGGTGCCCATACATTCTTATTGGTAAACGCCGACTCTGCCTCCGCGCCCCTCTAGTTGCTGTTCTCCCCGATCGCTTTTTGTTACGCACCCCTCCGTCCTTTGTCGCACCGCTACTCTGAGCACCCCGCAACGCCAGACGAGGCCCGTGTTTTCACACTGTCACTGATCTTTCGAAGACCGGTCAGCCTTAAACCCTGTTTTTGATCGCTGGTACTGTTGTTGGCGTTGCCGGCCTGGAGTGACCGGGCCATTTGCCAATATCGTCGGCCACCAACTGTATCCGATAGTCTGCGCCTAGTGCACGTACGTATGCTACCCCACCGACTCTGATAATTCGCCATTTGTTTCGTGTTTAGGACTTGTTCTCGCTCACTTCGCACTCAACTCAGCATGCCTTCTGCGCGCGTGTGGAAGCGCAAAAACGCCTGTTAATTTGCATGGAGCGAATCATGAAATATCGAAGTTCAAGAGCCCACGCAAATCCGCCGGCACAACAAAACAATTTTTGGACCACGGCCGCCGATTCTTCGAACACCGCTGCGCGCACCGATCCACGCGGCCATGCTGTGTCTTCTGCGCATGCAGACAGGCACTTTTTCCAAGGTTTTCTACATGCGAGTTTCGCGGACCTTTCAAGCAAGCTACCCAACCTGCCTCCTTCCTGTGTGTTTTGGTTTTCAATGTCACCCTCCCGCCACATCCTCCCTTCTCTATATCGTAACTCCTTGCCCTTCTCTCACAAGTCTGCTCTCCTCTCTTGATCACGACCATTTCGCCCGTCTCCACCGCTCTGCGACGCCCACCACGCTGGCTCGAATCAGTTTCGTTTTCTGACTGGAAATGGGCCCACAGCTTTCCACGCGTTCTGGCATGTGTGTCGCGTGTGCGCGTCTAGCTCGCCATTGGTGTGCGTGTGTGGTCATGGTGGCCAACAGGAGGACTAGCACGCTTTTTCCTGCCGCTCAACAAAACGCCAAAAGTGTGACTGCTTGGCTTAAGCGTAATCCGCGCGTTAGGTGCCGCGTTGCGGAGTGCTTGCTCATAGCTATTGAACACCTGGCAGCCAACTTGCCGCTTTGGGCGTCCCGGTATTCAGCTGAGTGTGAAGATGGTGAATATTTCGTGGGCAGCGGTGACGGCTACATGCGTGCAAAACTGTTTTTGCGAGGCCGACTTCGTCGACGTCGGGCCCGATGCCGAGCCTGAAGTTTCCGAACTGCGGCGGCGATTTGTGGCAGCGCGTCGTCGACTCCGACCTGGGAGAGTGGGTGGGACATCTGTTGCGGTGGTTTAATTACGGCCGACGGTGAGGCCGACACTGCGAAACTGTGCATGGATTGGGGCATTGGGAATGAAGTACGTGGCGAGAACGATTTGGAGGAATCGGATTGCGAGAATGACGAAACTTTGAAGCCAGTGCCTCATGCAGCTTATGCCACGGGCCTCGGCGAACGAGCATCCTGCCGTTTTAAATGAACTCGAGACCGCCCTTATCGCTTCTAGCCTTCGAAACACGTGCATCATGGACTTTTTCGGGCAAAAAAAGTTTGTGTTTTCACTCGCAACTTGTTTTAAAAGCCGTGTTTTATTTACTACGAACTTCAGGACACAGCGAACGGATGCCGCGTCACGCTCAGGCTTGTTATAAGCGGGCTCGACTGTATTGTTTGCTACCTCGTCCGTAAATTTAAAAATTTTATGATTTTATACGCGAGCTTTCTTATTTGCTGCCTGTGCACAGTCTTACACAAGCTTCCAGGCCTTTTGTTATCCTTAATCTCCCAACCGCGAACACATTCCTTGCAAACCCATTGCTTACAAATGCGTTTGCCAAAGAAGTTCACAAGTTCTGGGATTGAGCTTGTTGTGGCGATTTAGTTACTGTAAACAGTGCAGAAAAAGAACACAAGATGACAAGACAGCACCAAGCAGAGACTACCGACAAACCATTTATTTTTGTGAACAGAACTGTGAAGTGCATTCCAGAAGAGAGGAGAGAAAGAGGGTTTTTAGAATATGCATCCTGTCCTATCTGGCACTGTAAGATGCTTGTTTGTGCAGATAACTAATCTCTTTGTCGGTTAACGCAACCTATGGTAAACTGATGCATATAGGCCCTACACTATGCATGCTAAGGGCCTCATAAATTTTTCATGTGCGGGTGTCGCAGCAGTTACGGGCAATATGTACTTGTCTGGGGGAAGTGGGGAGTGAAGACCGGCATCCATTCAGCATCACACTGCACACAGTTCAGCCTTTACCTCGATCGGGCACGTATTGCTCTCAGGTGCTGTGTGTTCAGCAGTAGTTTATGCACTTCTGTTATCAGTCTCGAAATTTTAGCCACCGTGAGACCCAAGAAAAAGTGGAATGTTCCTGCTGCTTTGGCAGGCAGACTTCAACCTGTATCTCCTGCCTGTTTGAAATTGCTTTAACAAAATGTCCTGTGCACTTCCTGGGGTAATTTGTGAAAATTTATTGCCTCAACCTTAGTTTGCATTAGCAGTGGAACTTTGTGCACACAAACACACTTCACTTCTTTGAGGTTAAAAATAACTGGTGTGTAATGGATGTGAAGTTCATCCATTTCACTTCATCCGTAGGATGAAGTGATAATGCATCCTATGCAAGTTTGTTATATTCATTTGGAGTGAAATAATATTATAACAAATTTCAAGGAACTGCTATAAATCAATTTGTATTTTGAAAAGTTTGTAGTGAAACTATTAAAAATTTTTGCATAAGTCACGAACTTAAACACTTGAGTCCACTACCTATGTTGTGTACACATTCACGATCATGTCATGCTCTTATAAGTGTGTAAAAACAAACATCTAATATTTCGGTACCAGTGCACGTTTATTTGAGGAAGAGAGATCGGCAGTCAAACTCCACTACAACGAATTCTGCTACAATGAAAATCCCGCTTCAACGAAGGTTTTTCGATTCTTCACTCGCATCCCATAGGCCCCAACGTATTAAAGTTTCCTCCACAACGAATCACTTTTTATTGTTCTCCCGGTTCAATGGAATTTTCCCGGGACACAAGTCACTCGATCTGACTCAGAGTGAACCACTCTAACTAACTTTAATAAGTTCTAACAATGTAAATTATATAGTAGCAACATTTTTCATCGTGAAAAACGGCTCGAAAAAAAGGTACACGTGACAGCAGTTGTCCTGTGCATTTGTCCACTTTCCCCCCCCCCCCCCAAGTTGTTCCTAACACAGAATTCTTATCAGCTGACTCGCATTCAGGTTCTACGTTAAACAATCCCCTCGTTTTCTGACCGCTAAAATGGTCGCAAATGCGCCAAAGTCGCATGTAGTTCGCCGAATGCTGCAAAGCAAGAAGTATTCACCATAGCCATGGGGGATGCCATCGTTTGTGCTTGATGACGATGCCAACGGTGCTGCACAACATTCTCTGACAGCCAGCGAGCTTGGCCGACCGAAGCATAGACGAATGCCTATGTTGAATATTGGCTGCTGGCTCGGCCATCTTTGCGTGTGCCTTTTTTTACGTGTGTTTAGTGGGCAAGCACCAAGCCGAACAAGCGAACCCAGCCGCGTTAGTTTTCGCCTAGTTAGCTCGCTGGTCCTGCATGGTTCGCTTCGTCAGTTACGACTTGTGTTTTTTTTTTTTTTTTTTCTCGATTTTGGTCTACGGTTGCCAGGTCCTATGGCGGCGCCACGGAGCAAGAAACGGAAGTTTCTTTCGCTCGAGCAAAATGCAGAAATCATCGCCACAGCAGCAGCTGGAAAAAAAAAGACTTGTCACGGAGGAGTACGCGATCTCGCCAAGCTTTCTGTCGTCGATACGTAAGTCCAAAGCGAGTATTCCAAAGGCCCTAGCGTCAGGCTCATCTGCTCTTAGCAAGAAGACGACCCAGCCAGCTCACGAAGAGCTTGACAAGGCAGTGTATGCCTAATCTTGTGAAATGAGGGCTAAGAACATACTAATCAGCGGCAGTATGATTCAGCAGAAGGCGCTAAATTATGCCTGCATTTTAGGCATCACCGAGAACCTTAAGGCAAGTGCCGGGTGGCTGAACTGCTTCAAAGAGTTCCACCAAATGGCCAGAAAAGGGCTTTGCGGAGAGTCCGCTTCGTTAGACTCTGGCGGTGCATCGCCGTGGTCCGCGGCGAATGCTGCCAGCATCGTAGAAAACTACTCTGCCTCCGAAATATACAATGCGGACGAGATCGGGCTTTTTTATGAAATGCTGCCAGCAAAGACGCTCGACTTGAACACCGACATCGACAGTGCCACCGAGATAAGCAAAGCAAAAAGCGATTCACCGTGCTACTTTGTCTAAATATGGACGGGTCTGACAAGCGGCCCTTTCTCATCATTGGCAAGAGCGCCAAGCCGCAGTGCTTTAAGGGAACAAAAACTTGCTTGTGAGATACGTCACGAACAGCTGTTTGTGACGTATCTTTTGATAATGAAATGAAAAGGCAAGACCGTCGTAATTGCTTGCTGCTGGACATGTAGTTCAGCACATCGCCTGGACGGCAACGTCAAGCAGACAAACTTTGAGCTGAACTTTTTCCCGCCTAACTGCCCTTCCCTGATCCAGCCTTGGGATCCAGGCGTGATAAACAACGTGAAGCCTGCATACTTGTCAAGACTCATAGATTGAATCCTGCTGAACATGAGCGTGTGCTGGTTTTGGGACATTAAACCCCACATATTAATGAACACTGAGCATGGTCACTACTGTGAACTTGAGAAGAGGTGAATACTAAAAAGATTTAAAAGCAAACAGGAGCAAGAAATATTTGAGGCACATGTCACCAAAAAGTTGGGCAGCAGATGCATCAGTAAACCATCCTTTGACCTGTTTTCTTGTGAAAGATGCTATCTCTATGATTAGAGCGGCATGCGGTTCTATTTGGTTTTATCTTGCGTCACAATGTGGCAGTGCAACCGGTATTACGTGGTTCGTTGGCTTTGTATGTGCAATGAACGCAAAATTAAGCTTAGTTGTGAGTGCGCCTTTTTGCTGTCAACTACGTCTTATAATTTTGTAACCGGCGCTACACCCGATATTTGAATAAAGTGTTCCGATTAGGAAACACGTGGGGGTTTTGATGAATATCATAGTGGCAGGCACCGTATTTACTTGAAAATAGGTCAGCCGTAAATATATGTCGACCCCTACTTATTGTGTTTTCGAGAGAAAAAAAAAATATTCGAATATAGTAAGTTGACCAATGTTTTTTTTTTAGAAACAGAGAAGTTGAAACGTAGCACATCTTTGTTTACATAACTCAGCGCCCTAATCGCTGCCGGGGTCGTCATCTTGTTATTTGTCACATGTGCAAGATGATGTTGTCATCGGATTCTTCGCAAGCATCCGCGGCTTTTTAAACGACATCGTCCTTGCTGTCACCGCTGCTGTTTGCTGGGCCGCAAAAGTTATGACACCGACATTCGAACGCAAATAGACAGTCTCGCTGCTTTCGCCAACCCCTAATCAACATCTCATTTACACAGAACTCTCACTGCACGGCACAATTGCTCGAGTCTTCAGTAAAAAGTCTCACTTGGCACTTGAAGTCACCTGTGTAGCTCTGCCAACGTGACATTGTTGCAACCGAGCACAACTAAATGGTGGTGGTGGTGGTTAGAAGAAGAAGGCACCTAATTTCTGCAGCCCGGTGGGGAGCACGGTGCAGCGCCTAAAGCAAATGCGGACCATCACACAGTCGTGCTGATCGTACAATGAACCAAGCGCAAGGCGGCGATGGCGAGGCCTCAGGCCAGTGCCAGTGCGGCTGCGCATTGAAAGGCAGTACTGGAAGCGCGGCTAGCGAGCTACGGACTTCGCGGCCAATACCTAGGGAAATCATTGGTTTTATTGCAAACACGGTGGAGCGGCTGTATTTCGCGGGGGCAGTACATGGCTATTGCATAAATAACTTTTTTCTCAATTACTTAGCTAGTCGGAAAGGAGGAGGGGGGTCTTTATTTCTGATTTTATGGTATACAGTAAAATCTCGGTATAACGAACTTCAGTGTTATTTTGAAAGGTTGTTATAGTGAAATCCCAAAAATTAAACATAAATACTTATTTTCCACCGACCAAAACGACTTACCTTTACAACGGTTGGTCCTTGAACTCGTTTTTCACGAGAAAAAACGAATGTACAAGTGAACACCAAAAAAATGCACGTCGACATAAAGAAGTCTGTGATCTGTTTTTGCATGCGCACTCTAAGTTCTTTGGGCACAGCAGCCTTCTTTTTGCCTTCCAGTTGCCAAAAATACCCGCTTTCTCGCGTAGTGAAAACTGCTTCCGCTTCTTCGTTGCAAGCGGAGATGAACTCATTGTAGTAGCACTGTAGCGCGAACGTCGACTTGCTTTGCGGACACGATAAGTAATCACCGAAACGAGATGAACACGACTGACAAGGCCTCCTAGAGCACATGTAGAAGTGACAAAGATAAGAAAAACCTGAAGCTTCGCTGCTGTCATCGCCTCTTTCGAAGAAAAAAAAAGAGCTAAAAAAATTTTTCACGATTCCTTTTCTGTTTTCTCGCTGTCTCAGGTTTTCTGCGCCCATGCTTCCTGCTCAACTCCCACTCTGCCTCGCTGACCTTGCCCTCTCAAGTTGCCCTCGCCTCTGCACTTGTAAACCTGCAGCGTTGGCGTCTCAACAATAAAAAAAATGAAAGTCGTCCTTTCCTTTTTTCCCCCTCCGCACCGTCGCGCGTCTTCCGAGAAGCACGCTGTCCGTTCACTGTGTCGCTGCTTGCGTACCACTCCAGTGATTGCAACGGATTTCAGAACATGAGTTCGTAGTATTGAAGCGTTGTTAATATATCTCGGAGCTAAATTAGAGCTCGTTGTTCTGAAAAGTTTGGTATTCTGAGGTACGTAGCCGTGAAATAATTTTACATTGAAACTATTAGCAGTCGTCGTGGGACTTTTTAAAAGTTTGTTAATCTGAAAACTTCGTTAATGTGGCGTTGGTTCAAGATTTTTCTTTACTGTATAACATGCGTATGCAGCAGGAACCGCTTGAAGAACAGCGGGTGCGGCAGTTGAATGTCATAAGCTCGGCGCTTTTGGTTAATTTGATTGTGAAAATAGGCCAAGATTCTTTGGTCACGAATATAGCTCGATGGCTAGTTATGAACAATATTTTGAAAGAAAAAAAAGTCGAGCTATATTCGAATAAATAACGGTACTTAGCTGGGCATTATTGTCACAGGTACAAGTAACTTTGTAAAATCGCTATTATTATTTTGGAGTGTTCGGGAGATATAAGGGGGATGAAATTTTATATGTTGTTCTTACAATCGAAAATTCGTTAAAGTGAAATATATTTACATTAATAGACATTTAGAGAGGAATTTTGGAAAAAAGTCGTTAATCTTAGGTTCGCAATAACGAGAGTTGACTGTATTTGTATCTCTCAAGCATGGTGGCCTCAACAGTATCTGTGTGCTACCAAACAGTGTAGGAAGGACTTATCACTGCAGGGAACCATTGTAGAGGTGCCTGTTCCTGGGACTGGCTCTGAGAACAAGAAGAAGCAGTTGCTGTCACCTGCGACAGTGGGGCACCTTGCAGGCCTGCTGGGTGCCCTCCCAGGAGACTCCCTTCTCCTCGGCGCTGGCAGCACGGACTCTGCCGTGAGTATGGCTACCCTGTGTTGACCTTTAAAATCAATGCAAGCACAAGCCACACACAGCATTCTTGAAGCTGTATTTTTCATTCTAGCATACTGTCAATGCCATCAGGGATCATAACATGTAGTACATATGACTACAGATTTTCATACTCCAGGGAGCAGTTATTTCTTTGGGTTGATATTTTGACTGCCCAGATTCTTGGGGGCTTCAAATGCAGAGCCTACTTCAAGATATCTTTATAGTTTCCCAGCAGCCTTTTCCAAAGCTCGGCTAACAAGTTATAAGCACCTTCTCAGAAATAGTTTAGATAAGTGTGCAAGCGGCGTAAATGAAGTTTTATGGGCTTTGGCATCTGAGGTACAGCATACTTTGCTATTTACGGCTGGAACTGCAGATGCCGAAACAGTAATGAAGTTCAGTTGTGGCAAATTGAGTATTTGTTAGGTATCTTGGTGGAACTCCGTCCAAAACACAATCTCCTAAGCATCACATAGATGAGTGTAAAGGACAGATACCTAGCAGTTGAGTCTTGATCTCAACCATGCCGCCGCCAAGACTGTCCACTAGCGCTACCCCCTTTCCCTCCCCTACAGTGAAGGATAATTTGACTAAGATTTTGGAGGTGATGGACCGAAATTCAAGATTAGAGCTGCTAAGAATAACCAATGCATTGCTGTGGTTCTATTTAGACCTTCTTGGAATACGGATGCATACAGTGTTTTTATTTGCCTTTGTTGCACAGATAAAAACAGTGAATGAAAAGAGGAAAAGGACGGAAGGTCAGAAGAGTGCATATTTTAAATCTCCCGAAGAAAGGAGTTGGATGGGGGGGGGGGGGGGGGGACGGATTTGCTTGGGACTTTATGGCGAATAAGGGCTACTACAATGCTACGCCGCAGTCAGATTATATTTTCAGTGTCTATTAGCATACGCCTAGCAAGATATACTCATTGTACTTGTTAATAATGAACTGTGTCCTATTTGTTTTTCGCACTTTCCACAAAATGCTAGTTTATGACAATTTATTATTGAGGCCTGTATACTATATTTACACGATTGTAGGTCGACCAATTTAATATTAATTTGAAATCTACAGTTGGGGAGAGGGGGTCAACCTACAATGAAAAACTAGTTTTGGTTGTAAATAGGCTTGTGAGAATATTCGAATGTTTTAAGTATTTGAACGAATAGTAGAGTATTCGAATTTGCTTTGATTCGAATTTAAATTATCGAATATTTCAAAGTATTTGACATGAACGAACAGATGTATACTAGGCCGCCTATAGTCACCTGTAAAGGTGGTTTCACTGCGCTATAGTGGTGCTAAGCCATGAAAGCACCTATTCAAATGAAATTTGCTTTGCCACAAAGCTTTATTTCAAATTAATAGGGACCCTGCAACACTTTTTGATCATGGTCAGCAAACGCTGCCGATTGGTAGTTAAGGCAACTGAGAACGCGAGAGTTAAATATGATAGCGCAGAACGTGACATAGAAATCACAATAAATTATCAGTCAGACGAAAATTGTCTCTTCTCTCGGCAAATGACGGCACAATTTCAAAAATCACTCGTCCCAGCAATTGTACCAGTCATTGGCTGATTTTAGCAAGGGGTTCTCGGTCGTTACTGAAGCCGCTCTAGCTGGCCGCGGCATGTCCACGGGTACATGCGCGATCGCACGGAAAAGCTGTGTGTTAAGAGAAAAAGAAAAAACAGAGAGAAAAATTGCTCAAGTTCATGACACGCATCTGACGTATTTTTTTCCCTATGAAATTTTTCGCGGCTTTGCTTTAAGCGCTTCCGTTGGGACGAGAGGAGAGAATCCAATTTCAGCATGTGGCAAATCAAATTTTTGCGACTCCGCTCATACTGGACAGATTCTAAAAAATTTTGCCGCGGGTAATTCATAACGCAATAAGCTTTTTTTAGTGAATCCATTCTATGGCTACTTGAAAAACTGTTGCAGAGTTTCTTTAAATGAGCATATTGTCCTCAAATCGATTGATGATTTTCCAAGTTTAAAAGCTCGTTTTGCCGACTTATACACTCTAGCTGTAATTAATAATGTTATGTGTTTTACAGGTTATCACTTGAATGTTACCGAAAGTCAAATCTTGCTACTTCTCAAAGTTTTTTTGAGTTCCTTATAATGGAAAAAAATGAGGCTCTTGCATAAAGGCCTTGTTTTAAAAAAAATATTGTGCTGGTTAGTTAGGTCATGATAAATGTGCCCATTTCTCTCTATACGCCATATATTCTCTTCAAATTCGATTCAAAGTTATTCCATCAAAATTACTATTCACTTTGAATTCGCCTCAAATGTAAAATTCACTATTCACACAAGCCTAGTTGCAAAGTCTTTATAAAAAATTGGCCCGAATCTACATGTTACACTGTAAATGTTGTCGAAAGACGATAGTCTTGCGTCTGGAGTGAGTGAACAAGACGTTTATTTGATGTTCTGCACAAGAAAATTGGTGACTAGTATTCTGGAGGCGCTGCGTTAGAGTGCCTCGAGCGTGTAATGGAAGCGAACAAGTGCATCTAGGCGCGTTAGCCATGAGCGCCATCTGGCAGTTATCTTCGAAAACGAAGGCGTGCGCAACCACGAAGAAAGATGCGCGCCTGTCACGGAGGTGATAAGGTGTAGAATTCCAAGTGACGGGCAGGTGCTACCACCGTGCCATCGTAGCAAAGCGTTGGAAACACCTTCTTGAGCATAGCGTTGCACTGTCAGCACAGCGCGTTAAACGCTACAGTCCTTAGAGTTACTTGTGTATGCCTCTTCTAGTATAAAAGCAGACACACAAAACATAGGCTTGTTGTTGTGGCGCCTCAGATATGTGCAATATTTGCTTTATTAATTGACAATCGCACAACTATGAGCTCTAAACCTTGAGCAATATTGGTGGGCGCTGCGAATGGGGTTGGCTGTTTAGTGCCGTTTGAGGTATTGTTAGAGCGGACAAACAGACAAATGTACAGACAGACAGACTAAAATTTTTTTGTCGAAGGTCCCCAAGAAAGACTATCGTCTTTAAGAGGCCGAACGGGTTTTCGGGAACCCGTCCGGCCTCTTAAAGGCGTTTTTGAATTCTGAAAGCATATTCTGCAAGCATACCTGCCTGCCAATTTTCAGACTCCAGAAAGCGATAATTTACTTGTTATATCATTACAAAGAGGACTCGCGAGCTCGATTTGCGCAGAATTTGACGAAAAAACACCACTTTTTTTGCAACACAGAGCTACCGTTTGCCGAAAGGCATAGCCACGATCTTGGTGTGTTTGAAAGCGCGTTTCTCCATCTTTCGATTCCCGCTCAAACAACTTTGTTGTGCTCATTGGTTGCCGAAAAAAAAGCAACCGAAATAAAGCAATGTACGCGACGTTATTGGTTGTTGAGTGCACGTGACCATGAGGTGGCTATTTCATTGGCTGATTGGGCTCGCACCTTCTGCTCGGCACGTCAACAATGCGTGAACAACGTGTCGTGCCGCCACACCGCCGGAGCTTTGACAGCGTGCTCTCGATCGAAGTTGTTGCGATGCCGGGACTATCGCGAAAGTTTCACACTCGTCATAAGTTCGGTAAAACAAAAGAAAGACTCAGGTGAACAACTTCAAGGCACAAATTTTGGCGAGTAGCGTCAATGAAGAACGGGATGGGTCGCCCGCCGATGCCGCCGACGCAAGCTTGACGGCCTCGCCAGCCTGTGATGTTCCCAAATCTGACACATCGCCGGCACATCTGTCATCGGAACGTGCAAATGAACATTGCGCGCATCGATACTCCACGACCGCCATCTCGTCCGCGTCCCTCGACGGCGAAGGAATCACCGAGGCGGCCAAGACAATCGATGGGTAGTTAGGCCTAGTGGGTCCGCCGGCCACTGACGCTTCTCAAAGCAGCGGCTGCGTCCGCCGTAACACAACCTTGCTAGCGGAATCGGAGCTGCAGGTAAGGCGTACAAAGGCCGATTCGAGGCTGCAGGAACTGACATCGACGGCCGCGTCGAAGAGAAAATTTGAGTTTTTGAGGAAGGATGCACCGGCCGGCGTCGCTCTCCCGGAGCAAAGCGATGAGGAGGCAAGTTTTTTTATCGCCGATCTTGGCTGCATCGGTCAACTGCTCGATGCCATGAGATGTAAAATTTGCCACGGAAGTGTCAGTATTCACAGACAGGAGAGGCAATACATCCGTGCCGTGAAGATGTGTGCGCGTTGCGTGAACTGTGGCGACATCGCACAAGCGTGGAGCTCTCCGCGAGTGGATGGCGCACAAAAAGTGAATTCGTTCACCGTCAATATTCTCGCCGCTTGAGCCATGCAGTCTACAGGGAACCGTCAAGAGGCTATGAATGATATATTTTCGACCATGAATATATCTCATTGCGGACTTCACAGAAAACGTGGCAGAAATATGTGAAGCAAAAATTGACACCTACAGCTAATCGCGCGGCCGAAAAAGTGATAGGCGAGTGCGCGAGTGCAGTTCGCGAGCTGTACAAAGAGCTGCATATTGGCTATGCCGACAGTATCGCAGTCTCGTACGACGGCTCGTGAATGACGCGCGGGCACTCGTCCTGCATATGCGTGGGTGCAGTGATTGAGCTCTTCACTGGCCTAGTGCTGGACTATGTGGTTTTGAGTAACTACTGTGCTGGGTGTGAGCGTGGACAGAAAGAAGAGCACCCGGCGTATCAGGCTTGGCAGGACACCCACGTGTGCCAAAAAAAATAGTACAAAAAAAGCTGGTGAAATGGAAGTTCAGGCAGCAGTGCTCCTCTTTGAGAGGTCCCTAAAAAAATGGCCTGAAATACACGACAATCTTGTCAGATGGTGATAGCCGCACCTTTCTAGCTTTGCAAGAAGTGGATGTCTACGGCTTCATGGAATTACAGAAGGAGGACTGTGTCAATCACGTCCAAAAGCGTATGGGCACTGCCCTACGCAATTTAGTAGCAAGACAAAAAGTTGGTGCCTGTGAAACCCTTGGAGG